TTCATTCTGGTGTACATCTAGTTGTTTGCGGTTTGCATCTTTTATTCAGTTATTATTAGTAATGTTATTATTTTCATTATTATTTTAGAGGAACGCGGAGAAGAATGATGACAAATCAAATTTATGTGAAGAGAACACCTCGGTGCTGAGTGCGCTTCGGAGTGGAAGGTAGCTTATTTGTTCAAGATGTTATTCCATTTCACACTGCGATAATTTCAGGCATTGATCATGGGTTATGAAGTTCATTGCTTTGAGCATCATCCGGTTAGTTTCTCTCGGAAAAAAGAAAATGAGTTCCTTTCTAAAGGATATTCAGTGAGAAAACTGAGCAACGAATTAATTGTTGAAGCTTTATCGTTGAAGAACCAAGAAGAACAAATTTTTTTCAAAGGTTATTAGGTGACGTAATTTTTTTTGAGGTGTCCAACTGATATGGAGGCAGCGAAGCGTTGTTTCGATATTTTGTTCGAAATGAACGACAATCTTGGTGATTTCCTTCAAAACGCAATGGGTTCAGTGGCGAAACTGTGCAATGCCATCGAATTTCAGGTCACTTTTTTGAGTTGATTCTATTGAGAGGGGGTGTTTATCACTGAGAATGAACGAACTGATTTTGTTTGAATCGCTGCAATCAGTAAGACATTGCAATTTTTCTGGTGATTATGGTAATGCTAACAGAGAATTATTTGTAAGCTAAAAATCAGGGGTTGCGACTGAATATCACTTCATCAATTACATATTGCCAGCCTCGAAAATATTTACAAAAAAAAATTCTTATGAGAGTAATCATAATTGGATTGGATAATTTCAGTTACGCTATGAACGTGCCTGGGAACGCAATCCAGCTGGAATAGTGCACCTAATGAATCTCTTATTTTCATTACCATTCGTTCAGTGGTTTGAGTTTATTGATGTCGGTTTAATGCCGTTATGCAAGATGTGCACTAATTTGGGCAACGAAGGGCAAATGACCGTGGCGAGTGTTTGGGCTAACTTTGAAGCAGAATGGTTGCAGGATCACATCGGAATGTTGCAGCAGGTTATTACTAGCTTTTCGAGCAGTTGCATTCAGGCAGTTTAATGTGATAATGTTTGTATTGTTCTTGATACTGAGTCACATCGAATAAGAGTCTGTAGCTTCATTGGCTTTTCGATTCAGTTGACTTGGAACTCGGATTTGGCAATTCATTTGAGAAGGATAATAAAAGAATTGCACATCAAAAATGGATTGTTTGACGAAGAAATAGAGCACTTTGAAGATACTTTGGAAATCAATATTGAATAAAAGAGTGCATTAAAGGCGATAACAATTCGTGTATTAACTGTAATTGATGCAGTCGGAAGTTTGCCGCGATTTACGGATCGAATCGAACCACTGCCAACGGCCGTGCAGACACTTTCGATTCT